GCGGCGGGGCCCTGAAGGCCTAAGGGGGGAGGCGGCGGCGGCAGCCCCAGTCCCAGCCCCCCCAGCCCGGCCGGAGGAGGAGGAGCGGCGGGAGGCAGCGGAGCCGCCAGGATGGCGGAAGGAGGAGCCGGGGGAGCGGAGGCACCGGTAACGCCGGGGCGGAGGGAGCGGAGCGTCCCCACTCCGGGCTGGAGCCGCTGTGCCCGCACCGACTCCATGGCCGCCCCCGGAGAGCCCCGCCGCCCAGGCGCTGTCACTCACCGCCCGCTGGGGGCCAATAGGGGTGGAGATCGCCTCAGGGAGGGGGCGGGACGGCGATGGGAGATAACCAATCGCAGCGGGGAAAGGGGTTGGGGGCGGGGCGGAGGGAGAAGATGAAAGGGGAGGCGCACCAATGGCGGAGTAGAAGAGAGGGAAAGTGGGCGGGCCGCGGAGGGGAAAAACCAATCAGAACCCGCTTGCAGGGCGTGGAGAGGGAGGGGCGCGCTCGCCTTAATTGCGCCAATCATAAGTGAGGAACGCTGCGAGGGGGCGGGATTTAGAGGACAGCATCCAATCGAGCTGCAGATATGATAATAATGACAAAGAGAATAACGAATCAAAAGGCAAAATTGCTGAGAGGGAGGTGGGGAACTGCCACCACGTCCTTATTGGCCGGCAGAAGGGGGCGGGAAATGAAAAAGATGACCAATCACAAGCACTGAGGCAGATTGAGAGGCGGGGGCGCTTGGAATCACCCACTCACGGCCTCTGTTTTGATGGGAGGGGGCGGGGCTCGGGGTAGACAACCAATAGGAACGAGCCGTGCGGGCACGAAACGGGCGGGTCGGTCCTTCTTCTTTCCCGGCGTGACCCGCGGCGGCTTCCGTCGCGCTCCCGGAAGTGATTCCGTCTCCGCCGGAGGCCGCCGGCCCCGGGCCCGGCCCCGCTATGGAGACCTGGGTGCGCTTCAGCGCCCAGAGCCAGGCCAAGGAGCGGCTCTTCAGGTGCGGGGAGGGGAAGGGTGGCTGCGGGGCGGGCTCCTCTCCCCGGGGGTGGAAGGGGAAGGCGGGGACGGAGGCTCCCCGGGGCGGG